AGAAAACTTAACCAGATTGCTACAGAGTTAGTCTTGTGTGTTCTAAAATCCCAGCTTCTTTGATAAGAATACCATGCTTCCTGAATTGTGTCTCTGAAAAAGTATCTCACTTTACACTGAAAGCCATCTTCACTCATAGTACCATCAGTGTACAGAGTTATAGCTTTGAAGGATGTTAAGTACTGACACTATTTTAACTTCTCTACCATCTCACATATGTTCTCATTAGTTAATTAGTTAGTTAACTGTTTGCTTCTTATTTGATCTAAGCATTAAGTATTTTTGACTCCAGATTTGCTCTAAGGAAAAATGCAAAACCTGAACATTTTACCATGACCACAAAATCATCTCTTGCTCTGTTTGGAAGTCACAAATATGAGCTAAATGTGGCTAGTTATGGAGCGAGATACTCTTCAAACCTGGATTTGCCTAATCCTGTCACCATACACCTTAAGGAGATGTGTGATAAGCAAGTATGCAGAGCACTCATTGTTTTCCTGGTATATCATGTGTACCCTTCAGTATTTTCAAACTACTTTGGTATAAAATGAAGGCATCCAAAGAGCATGACAACCTGTAACCTTCTCCCCACAAACAGGGATAGGACAATGTAAGTCACCTGAAGGTTGCTTGCAGTATGTTATTTCTGGTTTTCATAGAATGTTATTTAAAGCAAATATTGTAAATTTATGCAATTTTGGATGTTAATGTTCATGCAAATAAATATGCAAAAAGGCATGGTCTTTTATCCCTGGCAAGTTAGTAAGGTAGCCCTTAGATGTTGAAAGCCCTCAATTAGGACTTCTTTTTTTTCCTCCTTTATCAAAGTGTATTTAACATTCCTAACCCTGCACAGAAGGGGGAAAATAAGGTCATAGCTGTAGAAAAACCTGTTGATGATAACTGTTAATACGAAAATGAAGAAGTCAAGCAGTCTCTGGATAGCATAGGTCAGGTCCACTTAAACAAAAGCAAAGTTGGAAATGCAGTGATAGAAACATGAAAATTCTGCAACATGAGTGAAACAGAAGCCATCAGTTGTGGCCAGATTAATCCCTTAATACTGTTATTATATTCTCATTGTCATGTGGGACAGGTGACGGCTGGAGTGGTCTCTTATTCCAACTGCTTAGTAACACTGACAAACGTGACATAGAAAGGGTTGACCTAACCCCTGGATTGTGAATTCAGAGCACCGATGAGCAAATGAAAAGTCTGCAACTTACACTGAATTCAGGTTCATACCTGATATCAGAACAGCCTACGCTCTGGATTCACTCTCTCCTCTGGATCTGTTGCAAGCTTTAACCATGTACTGCATATACACACCCGGAGTAGAAAGAAGCCACTGGCACTGTGGACTTGGCAGTTATTTTTAAGACAATGGGATAATTACATTGGTAGAAAAGAGAAAATGAGCCATGCACAAATTAAAAATAAAAATTCAATACATGTGTAATTAAACACAAATAATGGAACAGTCCAGTTCAAAAAGTTGCTTACGAAACTGCTGCAGACTCGGTAAAAAGGGCCACAGGTCACTCCTGGAAGCAGGCTTTTGCCACTTGCTGGTATTACCTCCAGTTTGCTTTACAAATTTAAGGTACACTATTGAACTAAAGTGAATGTATCTGTTTGTACTCCACACAGTGAAATATACTGATGCCTAGAGTTTCTGCAGAGTTCTAGAGCCTGGGAACCTGTAATATTTCACTAATTGATGTTTGTTGTAGACTAAATCTAGGTGGAGTACAATGTAAATGCAGTAAATGCAACCTGATATTTTCCATTGTGCCCAGTGTAAGTTTTGCTTTAAAAGGAAGGAAAATGCTTTAGATAATTGCCTTCTGCTTCTGCTGCAATAGTTCTATGGATTCCATTTCAAATGGTACTCAGATCTATCCCCAGATGGAGTCCATTGTAGTAACTTCAGCACCTAATTGAAGTCAACCTCTTCAGTCAGTAACACATTTACTTCTACAGCTGAAAAGGGAAACAAAAAAAGAATATCCTCCTTCTTTAAATTACTCTCTAAAAAGAAAATGCACCTTAAACCCAAATAATATTTCAACACAGAATCTTTGGACTACTGTTTCCAAATTTGCTCACACTTAAGGCATAGGGTAATTTCTCTGGTATTGTAGAAAGTGACCTACTGATAAATCTGCCAGAAGTTCCAGTTTTTAGAGTCTATTTCATTTTCAAACACTAAGCTACTATTCACTTTTGGAATCTGTTGTCAACCTGTCCCTTCTTCGGAAAGACTAAGTAGAAGGCATCATGAAACCACTAAAAGCATTCCTCTTGCTCACACAGTGTCCAGACAGAAGCCTGTGGTGGTAATTAGTAAGCTTTCCTGGATCATGCAGGTAGCTAGCTGCGAAGCAGTACAACTATTCCTATGATATCTTTCATTAGAAATTGAAAACACCAACTTGGCTGTCCTGACCACAACAGAAGAAAGAGATGCTTTATACATTCTATCTACCTTGTCCAACTTTAAAAGCTTATGGAGTCAATTTGAATCAATGAGTAAGAAATGCCAGTAACTGAGGGGAAGATTGAACTGGTTTTCCCCATACTACGAAAAAAATGAAGTCCATCTAGCAAAGCCCAACAGTCAGGTCTTTTGCCCAGATACACAAACTTTGCATTAATTACAAAATCAGTTGTATTTCTTTTTTCTGGAGGACCCTGCCTGACTTGTATTGAAGGGGACTGAAGTGAGAGATGGCCTGATCTTGGCAGCATAGCTCAATTAAGGCAAAGGAATCCATAAAAGTCCATTTGCCTACTAAAACTGCAGGGAGAACAATTAATCTCTCCCAGCAATAATGTAATTACATGGATTGGCTTTACAAACTCGGTGCTGTGTCTGCCTTATATTTACATTTGAATACTGCTAATAGTTGAGAATAATTTTGTAAGCCCTAAATGCAGCCTGATATTTTCTTTCATGCCCAGTGTATTGTTTTGCAATCAAAGAAAGGAAGATGCTTTAGAAAATTGCCTTCAATAGGCTTCCCTGTAAAATACCAGTTTCCTGCAAATTTTCAAGGCTGTTCCAGAAATCTTGAAGAGATCTGAAGATTTCCTTGCCTAGTTCTGACTGTGGGACCCCAGTATCACAGAACATATCCCCCAAGGCCTGCTTGTTTATTTCTCCCTTTTAAGAGACTTTAAATCCCTTCCCCTTTAGTCTGTTCAGCAATGTTGTTACCATGACAGCTGACAGTCACAGAGAGGACAAAAAGGACATAGCTTACCTGGGTTATGATGTGCTTAGTTAAAAACTGCAGTACAATGCAGTGCCCTATACTGCAATCAAAGGTACTAGTTGAAACATCAGCAACCTGCTTTGCGCTGGACTCCTTATTCTACCTGTGTGATTATATCTTACAGCATGCAATTACCTCCTTGGTGCAGCCCCCTTAAGAAACAATCATCTCTCCTTTTCTGCAGAAAGGAGTTGACACATATTTCCAGTGAACAGACCTACTTACACTGAACTATGATGGCTCTTTAAAGAATAACATTATCAAACATCTAATTACCAAATGTGTATCTGTATTTTAACCTCATTATATAGATTTTTAGACTCAGCAGAAGCCATCTTTAACTTTCTGCATCTGTCCTAATTTAGTTAGAAAGCACTCTTACAATGGAGCAGAATTTAAACAGCACTGATCATTCTGCAGTTATTTCTAATGTGTGCTAGTAAACAGGTTTACCCTACACTTGCCATGGTATAAGAGGGACAATTGCAAGAAATACAGTCCTTAATTCAACGTTTCACATAACAGTTGTGAGATAAAAGCAGAAGAGCTATGGATAAGTTAAATCCTGTGAGAACATTCTTCACATGTTGATGATGCACATTTATAAAGAACCTTTCCACTGTCTGAGTTGGTGATACAAATATAACTGCATTTGCAGTTTCCTAATGTCTATGGCATACAGTTCATAATTGCATTAATTCTGTTACCATGCAATTTGTAGCACTTCTGTAATAGAAGATCACTTATGTAGTAACAAGTGAAGACTCTGTACCTTCAAATAAAACCATATATCACCGTGAACATAAACAGCGCATGAAATCAAAGTATCCAAGCACAGATATTATCGTGTATATTCATGATCTTAGAATGTAGAAAATTACAGTGAAGCATGCAAAAATAAACTTAGTTATGCGTTATTTTTGTAATGAAGATCTCTATAAATCTTTAAAGTTGTGTTCTGAAATAATTCACTTCTGTTTATTTTTATCAGTTTAATATTGACTGAAAAAGCTAAACCCATTACTAAGTTACTATTTTGAGGTTCAGTTTTACTTTTTGTTTCTTTTCTTGAAAGGGATTCTTCAGAAGCTGTATTTGAATTGATATTATTGTAGGCCTTAAAAGCTCCTGACCTTCTGCTCATAAGCAATATCCCATCACCATCTGTACTGGTAATGAAACCTGTCTGAATAGGAGTTTCAGTGTCCGGACAGAAACAGAAGAGCAGACCTTTGCACAACACTGTAACTGCAATACTGCTGTTAGCTTTTGCAGTTAAATTGGAAGTAAAATTTGAAAGCCACTCAGGAAAGAAATAAAATAAAGTAGTGCAAATTCTTGTGCAATTTAAGGTTGAAATCAAATGCAAGTATGTCTCATGAACTTTCCTTTTCCATTCGTCTGCATATGCTTTTGTTTTCCTGTAGGATGCCCACAAAGACATTCAAATTCAAGATTTCACTGGTATTTATGGAGCAACTAAGTCAACAAATTTTATGTTAAAACAGACATGGGTTTTTATGAATGAGTAGTTCAAATTTTTCCCTCAAGGCTTTCGAGTATCCTTCCAAACAAAGATCTTGTAGTGTATGCCTTATTTTCTTTCACAGGGACATAAGAAATTATGGAAATGGTACAAAATGTTAATCCTATGAATAACAAAACACAATCATATATCTTAGTTACTCTGTTTGAAGTGTGATGTGACAGTACTGAAATTACCTCATAAAACCCTGGGCATTTTGAGACAATGTGGAGAAGGATCCATGCAGCAATAGCTGCTGTCTGTGATGACAAATTTTGAATCTATAAAGGAAAAACAATGGGGAAAAATATTTTTGTTAATAGTCATTTAGACAGAGATATTTTCATGAAAATGACAATGTAGAGACTAGAGAAAACCAGAAATAGTAATTCTCACAATACTCTCAGAAAAACATCATGTCCATTGTATGGATATATAATAAGGCATTGAATGGAAAATTGTGGAAATAAATGTATTGTTTTAATCATTCACATTTGCATCTTGCTGAAAACACCTAATACTTACGAAAAAAACTCAAACTAAACAAACTCCACAAGTAGTATCAGTCCTATTGAAGAGCAGAGCAAAGCATTTTACTCTAATTTCATGCACGTGTAAGTCACAAGGTGCCACTATATCCACCTAAAATTTGTAAAAGGGAGATCAGAATCAAACCCAATTCTTGGGGAAAAAAAATATCACAGATCTATGTTTATAATATTTAGCAATAAAATTTACAGCCCTGTTATCGTCTAGCTATGCAAAAACAAACACCTGTGCAGGTGGAGTGTGCCACATGTTTATATGTAAACAAATGGCCTAATCCTGCCTTAGGGCACTGTAATGTTATAGAGCACAGCTCCAGTGAGATAGCACTGGTTTTGTAGAAACCAGCCAGCACAGGAGAAAGTTAATTTGTCCAAACCACCTAGAGGCAATCTGAGGTGAAGTTCCAGTCAAAGCTAAAGTTCACATCTATAACCATACTGGTGACTAGGCATAGATCAGAGCTGAGAGAACAAGTAAAGCAGAAATCTGAGCTTCCCCAAATCATCCACATGGAAACTCAGTTTCAGGAGAGCTGCCTGACACCTGCCCAGCCTGCTGCCAGTGTGTCAAAGCAGAACCATGTTTGCTCCATATGCTTTTTTTCCAGGGTCTCTCTACCATCAACGTCTTCTTTGTGCCACTTTCCAGTCATGAGGAGAGGGTAAGCCTCTTCAGGCATGCTACACTAACTTAGGAGGTACTCCTGTGATGTCCCAAAAACTATAAAGAAGTGAAGGTTGTAGAAGGCTCTGTGTTTCTCATATTTTCCTGAAAAGCCATTTCAGGTCATTCATTAAATATGGAACATAAATTATGCTATACATAGCACCCTCAAATTGCATTTTTTAATACAAGAGATAATCTTCCAGTAACCTTTTCCAGCCAGAGCTAGGGAGTTTGATAATTAAATTGAAAGTAAAGGTTTAGTGGCAGTCAGGCAGTTTTTCTTGAGGTGGCTCATGTGGTGCAGAGGAAATCAAGTTGAATGAATGCTACCGTTCCTGGAAAGCGAGTCTGTGAAAGCTTGACAGGCTCTCAGAACTCTGAGTTTGTCTGCACTAGAGAGAAACTGTCTTTCTGCTGTGAACGTTGAGATTGGTGTTGATCAGGTGTCAATTTTGCTACACAGCAAGCTGTAAGGAAATGACTGTCACCAGGGGACAGGACAAGAGCAGAAAACTATGCAGTTATACCCTTTATGCAGAGTGGATTTGCTTCCTGAGCAGATTGGTTTATGGCCTTACCCTGCACAGTGGAGGAAGCAATTAGTAAGCTCCGTAAAGCTTGTATCAGAAACTTTTCTGGGGGTTACAGAAAACTTCTGACTAAAAGCCCATATTTATTGTGAAAATTAGCCTTTTGGTAGAAACAGGACAAGGTAATCTAGGCCTTAAATAAAATAACGATTTGTTGCATGAGACATCTCAAGCCTATCTTCACTGCTATAAAAAAGGAGGCATTTAAGTCATTATGTATCTATGATATGTGGTGCCCATGCAATAAGGTGCACTGTTTTGCTCTGAAGCAAGGCACAGTCTTATTCTGTATACAACTTAAGGGGTTTTTGGCTAGGCTTGGGAAGGGGAATTTTGGTGGTTGTTTAGCTGTTGTTGGATGATTGGGGTTTGTTGGGTTTTTGACATCATAGATACAGCAACAGAAAAGAAACATCATCTTTAGCTCTAAAAGCTTTTTTTCTAGTAGTACAAGAAAGGAGCTTTACATAAAACCAGGATTAAAGAGGAGAAGTGAGTCATGAATTGTATTCACAAACAAGTTGCAAGGTTCATTTTGTAAGGCAGTGGCCTTACTTATAAGGAGACAATGATGTCATTCAAATGAACTCTTAAGTGAAAAAACAAGTGCTTTTTTTTTTACTGTGGTTTTGTTTGCAGGATTGATTTTTCTGCTCTCATGAAGTTTGCATGCTTTTATAGTGGATTTACTGTGTGCATTGCTGACTTCTTTGCTTTTTAGCAAAACAAAACTGCCCCAATATATGTCCAAGTTTCTGGAGCATTGATGACTCCCCTCCAATTTGTTATAGTCCAGCCAGTCTTTGGAGCTCTCTTTCCTTCAGCACCAGTTGCAGCAAAGCGTAGAGGCACAAACCTAAAACTGAAGTCAATATCAATTTTACTGTAACATAGAAATTACATACATGTCAACGACTGCTAAATTGAAAGTGGTTCCTTTCTGTTTTTCTTAATATGTTATTCAATTTAGGGCAGAAACAGGTCTGTGTCTCTGCAAATGTTTTGAGTTCTTTATGGGAATGCTTAGGACACACATTCATTTCAAAGATATATAAATCAGTATTTTAGGAAAAGTTCCAGTCTGACATTGAACTGTTTAGACCGAAACAACAGATGGTGAGGCTACTGCAGGTTGGGAATAACAAGAAAAATTATTAGCTGCTGACTTCCTCCTTGTCCTTCACACTGTTATGTTTATAACCCAAGTATCTTGCTGGTTTTATTTTAACTCATTCCCCGGCCTTTAAAATATAGCTTATATTCTGTGTTTATAACTCTACTATTGATATTATCACATTTGTCTCCTGAACAAAGGAGATTCCCCACTTCCCATTCTAAAGTAGGTTTAAAAGCAGGTTGATACACTTCCACATTGAGGCCAACCAGACATGCATAAGACAATTCCGCACCACAAATCTGAAACTGTAAGCTGAAACCAAGGCATGACAGAGTCTTTCCTTTCTGTCTTGTCTACACATATCTTTGAGGGAAACATACCAAGTTACTACGAAGAGATACTTTTAGCCAGATCACTACAAAATAAGCTTTTCTTCTTGCTGCCACACACAGGAACAATTTATGAGAGCTCAAAAACTGACTCTGGCTCAGTAATAAGTCTGGATCATTTGCAGCTAGCAGCAGCATAAGGACAAAGTATTAGACATATTAATATTTCAACAATAGGTTCTTTTCAAGACACCTGTAATCTTGCAACAGATTGTCATCAAGTCTTCTGCAGAGAACAGATATGTTATGCTCCATATTTAAAAAATAAAATAAAATAAACTGGGAATGATAGGGGAGCTAGGTAATGACCAAAAACCAAGCGATGAGATGATGGACTTGGGATGGAAAGCCAAGGATTCAGGGTGATGTGGATAAGAGTCACCTTATAAAGAATGATACAGGGTGGAAGGGGAACCCCATCAAGAGGTAAGACAGTGATCTTATTATAAGATTGTAAATTCTGTTACTGATATAGGTGAGAAATGAAACTCCTGCTATTTTTTAGGAAAATCAAACCCCCAGAATTCCAGCCAATCATAACTGGCTTGTATATGCATAGAGAATGGAATTCCAAGAGTGTAGATGTTTCTTCTGGATCTAATCTGTATTTCTCTTGCAGCTAGTTACAATTATTTTTGTCAGTCCTGCAAAGCTCCTTTTCACTAAAGTAACTTCAAAATCTGAAGTGCAAAACTGTGGAAGATATAAGCTGAGTTGCTTTTACAATCACGTGATATTTCTTACATTTTCAACTATCACTCAAGTGCTGCTTACTTTGAACTGTAAATAGGCAGTTAAACCAGAAAAAAACTATTTACAGATGTGGTCACATTACAATGCTGCTTCATTATTATTAATCTTTCATTCATGGATACTGTATATTTACTCATTGTCTGTTCACTATTATAAACAGGAAAACCATAGCTGGCTTTAAATTAGAATTGCTTCCTAGTTAGTGTTTGTTGTACAGGAACAAATTGTTACATGTTATATTCTCAACAGGATCTGTAGAGCTCTGTTGGAGGTAAGGAGTAAACATTGAAGCACCCTCACAAATCGTGGTTTTGCATATAGTCTTTACATGCATATAAATGTAAAACTTCAGCTATTTGCCTGTTACCAATGGGCTCTGCCTTAGGAATTGCTTCAGCATACCCAGCCCTTGCTTTCAGAGGCTTCACATCAGCATTTGTTTCACCAACTGCGATTTCCTTCATTTCAATACTGTGAATAGTCCACACCATTTTACATCTTAGAAAGGTTTGGGTTGGAAAAGACCTTGAGGTCATCCAGTTGCAACTCCCTGCCATGGGCAGGGACACCTCACACTAAACCATCTCACCCAAGGCTCTGTCCAACCTGACCTTGAACACCACCAGGGATGGAGCATTCACAGCTTCCTTGGGCAACCCTTTCCAGTGCCTCACCACCCTAACAGGAAAGAATTTCCTCCTTATACCCAATCTAAACTTGCCCTGTTTAAGTTTTAACCCATTACCCCTTGTCCTATCACTACAGTCCCTAATGAAGAGTCCCTCCCCAGCATCCCTATAGCCCCCCTTCAGATACTGGAAGGCTGCTATGAGGTCTCCACGCAGCCTTCTCTTCTCCAGGCTGAACAGCTCCAACTTTCTCAGCCTATCTTAATACAGGAGGTGCTCCAGTCCCCTGATCATCCTCGTGGCCTCCTCTGGACTTGCTCCAACAGCTCCAATCTTGAGTCTGGTTATAAAGTATTTTTATGCATCTGACATGGTAATAAAGGAAGCCCAGTCCCTCCTTTCTAGCCTAAATCACTCTTTAAATCCTTCACAGTATCTTCCCTTGCAAACCTCATTTTCACTACGATCCTTGTATTCATTTTAAATCATTTGCTCTCCAGTCTGTATTTTGACTACAGCCCTCTTTCAGCAAGGTGGATTACAGCTGCTGAGTTACTTTTGTTTGCATGAAGCAAAAACACTGAAGTTGTGATAAAGACCACTGGAATAACAAAACTGTGGACATTTATTTATGAAATAGCAGCAGAAAAACTAAGACTTGAAAGCTACGGAAGTTGCTATGGTTTACCACAGCTTGCAACTGTGAGAAACTCTTCCCCACATGCAGAACAAATTCTGTCCTTGGAAAAGGTTCTCTTGTTTGATGCCTACCAGTCTTCCTTTGGTTATATTATTATGTCTTGTCAAAATCTTACCAATTTTTTCTCAGCAGAAAATATTAAGATCAAATATGAGAAACTCCGGTTAAACTGAAGGAAAAGCAACTGGATTTTGTGCGAAGATGAAGTGGGCCCTCGTTGCCCACTGCAGCCATGACAGCCGTGAGGCTCACGAGGGAAACAAGCAGGCGAAGCCCCGCTGCACAGCGGGGCCGGTGCCAGCCCCAGCCCCAGCCCCAGCCCCGTGCCCGGCCAGGTCCTCACCAGAGCCGCCATCAGCGCCTTTCTCTCTCACAGCCAGCGCCTCCCACCCTTAGCCCGCCAGCGGCCCGCTCGCGCTCCCTCACAGAGCCCGCCACGTTCCCGCGCCCGGTTCCCGTCAGCGGGGCGCTGCGCGGTGCTGCCCCGGGCGGTGCTGCCCCCGGCGGTGCTGCCCCCGGCGGTGCTGCCCCCGCTGCCCTCCCGCAGTCCCCGGATTTGGAGCAGAAAGGACGCCAGCTCCAGCTATC